TTCCCTTGCTGCACAGATCATCAGAGCATTTCAGTGACCAGTGGAATATACTGGATTTCTCCAACTGCCTGGATGTACATGCCAGCTCCACTCAGCTGGACAAATAAACTCCTGCAATTGCTGTTTTTATGGGGCCAGACTGATGCTGCAATCTGCTCTGTGCCACACAGAGCCATTTCACTGGTGCACATGGACAGGGCCAAAGCCATTACTCCAGATTACAGCAGCAGCACGAAATGTGTCAGAGACCCTCTGAGCCCCAGGCTGGGTGCTGTGCTTCAGCCTAGCAGGCAGCTGAAACTCCCCCAGCCACCTGCTCACTCCCTCTCCCCCACTGGAATAGGGGAAAGAATCAGGAAAAAAGGCAAAACTCAACGGTTGAGATGAGCACAGCTTCACAGGACAGAAAAGGAAGTGGGAAAAAATAATGACAATGATAAAAGAATACAAAAAATGAAATGCACAATGCTATTACTCACTGCCTGCTGACCAGCCACCCTCCAGCTCCCCCAGTTTTATTGTTTAACATGATGCCATATGGTGTGCAATGTCCCTTTGGCCAGTTTGGATCACTGTCCCAGCTGTGTCCCCTGATGGCTCCTGTGCCCCCCAGCCTCCTCTCTGGCAGGGAATGAGGAGCTGAAAAGTCCTAGACTTCATGCAAGCACTGCCCAGCAACAGCTGAAACCTCAGTTTAGAATATATTCTCAGATAGAATAATGTTCTATCAACATTATTCTCATTCTAAATCCAACACACAGCACTGTACCAGCTACTGGGAAAACTATTAACTCTATCCCTGCCTAAACAAGGACTTTGGGAAGCTGCCTGCTGCTCTCACAGTGAAAGTACAGGAAGGAAGAAAGCATATGGCTGTACTGGTGTTGTTTAAACATTCACACGTGCTCCTTCAAAAAGCCCCATCTCTCCTGAACTTTTCAAGCTATTTCACCCAACCACACTGCCACCTTCCCCAAAATGCTTTCTCCCTTTCATTTTCTGCTTGCTAAAAGCCTGGCTGGGCTGAGTTGCAAGATAGTGATAGTGGTGTATGCACCAAAAGTTTCTTTCTGTTCTCTTTCTTTACACAATTTGGGGTTTTTTTGGTACTTGGTGGGGGTTTTTTTATTTTTTGGGGTTGGTTGTTTTTTGGGGGTTTTTTTGTTATTGTTGTTGGTTTTTTGGGTTTCTTTTTGTGAAAGACACAAACCCAGTCAGCTTGACCTCTGCATCTATGGCAGTGCTGCAGGAGTCTTAGAGCTGCTTGTGCACAGAAGTAGAGCAACACCGAGCAGCACAGGCTGAGATTTTGTTTGGAGGCTCTGAGCTGACAGAAGATAATGGGGGGTTCACAACAAAGGTCCTTCCTGAATGATAAATGATTCCTGGTGCATTCGAAGGATCTGACAGACCTACCTATTTGTTCTGCTCTGCACAGAGAGGGGATGAAATGAGCCAGATCAACACAAAAGGCGCTACAAAAATCAGATTTTCAATGCATATTCAGCAACTCTAGGCAGCAAACGCACAACAGGTATTTAAACAACAACCCTTGTAAAAACCTTGCTCCCTTGTCATAGGATGCTTTGTTGGCTATTTTTAGCTTTTCAAGTGTCAAGAAACAACGGAAAAAAATACTGCTGAACAGCATTGGACACCATGATAAAACAAGTGAGGCAAAAAGAAATCTGAAGCAAGCTCCACAAGATGAAGTTAAGTTATTCAAAGCTCTCTTTCCTGCAAGACAGGTGATGTATTTCAGCTTGAATATCCCACTCGATCTGTCCTCAGTGAACAAGCAGGTGACAAGCTGCCAATCCAGCTGAAAGCTCCCCATCCATCAGGGCTTCCCCCGCCCCTGCCCCGCACCAAGCAGCGCTTCATCAGCACCTACAGAATCTGAATCTGCCTATTTTTAACAAGAACACCATCCTGCAGTCCTGCCCACCCAGAAGGATTTGCAAATCTCTCCAAATACTCCTCCCAGGTCCTGATAACTTTGCCAGCATGAATAGGAAACTTGGGGCTTTTCAGAACAAGCTGCAGCTCGCTGACAAGGCTGGCAAGATTTCCTTTCCTATCTGCAGTCTGCATGAGTAGGCAGCTGGGATTGTGATGAATTACTATCTCTGATTCCAGTGCTAAGTTTAAAACATTTATTTGGCATAGTCTGTTAGAAAAAAACCCACTGCCAATATCAGCTATTGGTATTAGCAAACTTCTTCAGGAGAACTACCAAAGGTATTTCACTGTCTCTCTCTGCTTATAACAGGAGCGTGTTTGTGGACCAGACATATTTATTGACTGAACTGTAATTGAATTTTACTGAATGTTTATCTCAAAACACTGTTTCAAAAGAGAAACTAAATCATCTTGGTTTGAAAATAACTCAGTTCTTAGTTACACCTTTTCATGAGGCCAAATCTTTCTCCCAAGCTCAGTGGACACTCTGAATGCATGGGAAATTGCATTTTCCCTCGACTATTTGTTGTGCCTCCCTGTTTTATTTTGGAGCTCAGAGTGCCAGGCTTTCAGCAGCTGGCTCTGAAAAGCGTGTCTATACAATCCTGCAGGTCTGATCTATCTGCACAAATATTGCAAATACTAAGCTCATGACCAGAGCCTGTTCCAAAGCTGGTTTATTTTCTAACCACTAGAAAAAGATCAATCAAGGTTTGGATTTCAGTCAGGAGCACTCATCACATTGATGTGCATGGATCAGGAATCTTCAAATCTGCATTGATTTTGTTGCATTTTATGATAATTTAGCACTTTTACTTGTAAAATTTACTTGAAAATAAACCAAAAAGGTTTCTCCTGTCTGTAGCCTTCCTGCCTGCCACAGTGCTTTTCACCCCACAAGGGAAGGCACATTTATTTTGGTGTTATGATTTTGATGCAATAAGCACCTCAGTAATCCTTTTGCCACACTTCTTAAATTTTAGATTTTACTTTTGACTTTGTCTGAAAGCCTATAATCCTACACACAATTTCGCAACTGCTAAATTCACAGTTGCCACTTATAAATTTGATGTGAAATTTAGTAATTTTGTAGGTAACACTTATGGAAATTGTTAGCCAGTGCCACATACACAGGCTTGTTGTCAGCGTCAATTTTGATCCTGCTACTTTGTATTCCCCATTTCAATATGAGTTTCAGAGATGAAAAAGCAAGGAAACAGTCCACCTGGAACAGACACAAAGCAGGTTACAATCTCCCCTTCCTTTTACCCTGCTGAGGCCATGCATGTGTTTTTTTGTTGTTGTTATTATCACAAATAGTATTAGTGGCATTCATCATGTTTTTATGGCTCTCATCACACACTAAGTCATTTACCACTTAGCTTTTTCTGTCAAATACCTCTCAACAGGACAACAGAAGTCCGCCCCCCCCCCCCAAAAAAAAAACCAAAAAACCATAACCAACAAAACAAACAAACAAACAAACAAACCCCAAACCAAAAACAAAACAAGGGAAGCAAGTATTGCAATGTATAAAAATGTTCTACATCCACTTTATTCTTCAAGTCCCCAGGTTCTGTAAATATCACAAATCACTGCCAACAAACAGCACATCAGCTCCTATGGGCTTTTGATGACCTATCTGCAATAGCTCACTAGTGCTCTGGCTTGGGGATTTGCTTTTTATGGACTTGGAAATGTTTTGCAACACATCAACCCATCATGCAGAAATTTAATTGCACCACGCTGCAAGGGTCCTAAAATTGCAACCTCTCTTTTTAAAAAGCATTTTAAAATCTCCAAACAAATGTCTTTAATCTTCCAAAGATCTAGAAAGACTGTGGCAAGAAAACTTCGTTTTTATAGTTCAGTATTTCTCAGAGATGAGCTCAAAGTGTTAGCTGAGATAATTATCAGAGAGATTATGCAGATCTTATTATCAAAAGGTTTTGTTTGCTCTCTTGTTACATAATTGCTTAGTGTTTGCATGGTGCTCAGGAAATGGAAAGCACCAGAGAAATACCATGAGTTATTGATTTAATAGAAAAATAATTCTCCAAATGGTATTAACATTTTAAGTTGTCTCTACTATATTTTGAAGGTTTCTGGTTATCTGTAGAGCCTTTCAGTGATGCAGCCTTGGCAGTGATGAAACCATGAAATGAGAGTTGTGCCTTACCACTCCTGATTTTGGACTATTTCAGCAGAGCTGTGAAACAGCAGGAAGCAGAAAAAAGGTGCAATCTATTATCTCATCATTTCCTTCCCTCCCAGCTTTGCTGGTGACAAAGGCCACCACATTCAGAAGATAAAATCAGGATTTATATCTCAAAGCAGTGTCATAAAGTAAACAATCTATTTATGAAATCACTTAATGTTTCAAGAATTGGATAAAACCACATCAAACAATTCCAGCCCTGTGTAAGTTTATAAGCAAAATTCAGACTACCTGAATTCAAATACACTTTGTAACTTTTAACCAAATTCTAGCAAAGACCTTACAAACATGATAAATGCCATCTTTAAAGTGCAAAGATGAGTCTCCAAGTATAAACTTGCCATTGGGCACACTTATGTACCCAGACCACTTAGCCTTGCTAGCAATTTAAAAGGTACAGCAAGTACATAATTTCAATACCTGTTTTCAAGAATTCCAAGTTCATTTCATTATTATTTACAGGTATTGCAGGTTTTTTAGGATGTTAAGAAATCTTAAAGCAAGTGCACTATATAAGAATCACACAGAATCACAGAATAATGAGGCTGGAAGAGACCTCTAAGATCATCGAGTCCAACCTATGCCCTAACACCTCAACCAGACTATAGCACCAAGTGCCATGTCCAGCCTTTTTTTAAACACATCCAGAGATGGTGATTTTATCACCTCCCTGGGAAGAGCATTCCAGTACTTTATTATTCTTTTGGTGAAAAATTTTTTCCTAACATCCAACCTACACCTTCCCTGATGTAGCTTGAGGCTGTGTCCTCTACAAGCATGGTACCGGCCACGGAACACAAGAAAATCAGATTTTACTTACAGCCAACCATCATCATGGCCACCGAAAAAATCTTCTCCCCATCCGTGGTGGGTGCTATGTTCCCAAATCCTATGGTTGTAAGGCTTGTCATGGTAAAGTAGAGGGAGGATATGTACAAGGAGTCTTTGCTGGGCCCTCCCTCCCACTGGCCCGAGCCCGTGGTGTTGTAGCGATATGGGGTCCCGATGCTCAGGGCCAGCTGGTAGAGCCAGCTGTCTGTTTTGATGGTGTTGGTCAGTTCATCGATCACCTCGTAGTCCCCAATGCTGTACCAGATGCAGGCCAGCCAGTGGGCCACCAGCCCAAAGACACACACCAGGAGCACCAGCACAGCAGCACCATATTCCAGGTAATGGTCCAGCTTCCTGGCCACCCGGCCCAGCCGCAGAAGGCGCACCACTTTTAAGGAGCTGAAGAGGCTACTGATTCCCTGGAAAGGAATAAAAAGCATTATTTGAGCTGAAATACCCTGCTGGTTTTGCACAGAAGGCTATACAGCAATTCCTGCATCTGCTTAAAATCTTTCTATGTAATTTTTCAGGCCTCAGATAACAGAATACAAGATCAAACCCTCCTGTCCCTCCAGTGCTTTTGTCCTCATCAGGCTAAATTGAGTTTGGCACTCACTAGGTGGATAAATTACTTTGTTCAAACTCGGTCTTTCAAAGCAATAGAAGGGTTCTGTAGAATCCAAAGTGGAAACAGCAAGTTTATTACAAAAGGAGTGGTTCAATGCTTCGCCAGTTTGAAGTAAATTGGAGACTCTTTTGACCCCAAGAAGATGAAAGGAAGTGGAAGAGGAGTCACAGATGGAACTACACCAACCCTGTGGAGCCTTCCTGAAGTTTCCCAGAGAACAGCCTTCTATAAAACCCAAGCAGAGGATTTTTATTCTGGCCAAAACGAGGGCCCACCTACTTAAAGAACCCTCAACATTAGGAGATGCTTAAGAGAAGCATCAGAATGTAATCACAGTGGAAAACTCAGAGAAATCTGCCTATTGCTACTCTCACCCACCAAACAGGAGCTGAGTAACTTATCCTTCAAGCATAACTCTAGATATTTTTTTATTTACAAGAAGCCTCTGTGACTGACCATGGAATTAAACAACTGTGGGCACATCATCTTCCTGAGCAAGGGAAACACAGACCACAAGGCCTTTCCATATAGGGTTAATTTCCTTTCAATCAAAAGATATTTTCCTAAAGCAAGTGTTGGTGCAGCGTTGTTGTTTTTTCCTGTCATGCAAGATATATGACATAAAAATAAATGGAAATACAAATATTTAGGGAATAAGAGCACAAGGACTATCAGAAAGTTAATAGAAACATCTGAGAAGGGATGAGAAATGTGTAATGTCCTTCTCAATGCACAAATGGTTTGGGAGTTTAGAGATGCAGAAAGAGAACAAAAATATGCTCTTGATCTACTGCAATCCCATGATATAACTAACTTGTGCATTAAATTAACTAGTGGCTCAAAATAGAAGGTTTGTAAAGGAAGGTTTCTAATATAAAACATTCAGAAGCTGAAGACATTTAATTTAAAGTAGAAATTAAGACATAGAAAGCAATGAGGCAAACATTCCTCGTTACTGTGCCAAGATTAAATTGCCCTTTTCTATGCATCATTATCAAATCAGTCTAGTCAAAACACTGGCTAATTATATTATCAAACAGTAAAAGACTGGAGTTTCTGGAGTTTTCCATACCAGAAAAACATTTGTCTCTTTTGCACCTCTGTTTCTCCTTCTTTTGCATCTTCCCTCCCTTTTCCCAGCATTTGAAGGGTAACATACATCTGATATTTCTAGATGTAATCTGTTTGGCACAGTTCTTGTATGCTTTTCAAATCCTGTTGGAATGTGTTTCAGATCCCCAAATCCTTAATAAATTGAAGCTCTATATTTGCATTCAAGCTCTCATGATGACTAATACCACAGAGGGAAGTGGAATTTTCCCATTTTGATTTCTGCATTTTGCATTTACACAAGACAGAGATCAGAGTATCATCCTTATTTCCATCTAAATGTATATCTATTTATTTGCCTTAGGATTTATGACTGGGAGACACTCTGAGCAACCAACTTTTCCAATAAACTGGGAAGTCCCTTCCAATACTCCTGATACAATGGCCTGTGGCCAATGGACAACTGAACGAAGGTCTAACACCACAGTAACAATATGTACATTAAAAAAAAAAAGAGAGAGAAGTTCAGACTAGTTTCATAGTTATTCTGAAAATATTCATTATATTTTACTGAGTTAACCTTGACTTTGAAAGCTCACAACTTACAAAAGAGGGAGAAGACAGCATGGTGTTTTTCTCTTAGGACACAATCCTGTTGCATTGGTCAAACAGAAACGCATTAATTCTATTTTTATTAAAGTGTCACTGTTCATTTCCACGATTAAGGCTAGGGAAGGAGTTAAAAACCTGGAATTCAAGCTTGGGGGGCCCTTTTTTACACCCAGTAGTTTAAGTTTGTCCCAGTGGCACAGCTTACACTGCACTTTTTACTCACAAACAACCCTTGAACAGAAGAGTTTACAGAGTGACCTCACCTCCATCCCCTACCCACACTTCATCTTCTCTAAGTTACATGGACAATTTAGCTGTTATACAAATAATACAAAAATACTGCATTTATTTCAAAGTCTGGGAGAAAATTTGTGCTGTCTTTTTTTTTTCTCTAAGCACAGGTAACAATCACATCTCTTATGTATAAAACAAAGAGAAATATTTCATTTTAGCTGACATTGAAATGTATTATTTCCAAATAGCAATTAATTTAATTTAACAATTAAATGAATTTAATTGTTAAGTTTCACTGTAAATCTTAAAGCCTGTTTAGTTTGACCCCTTACTTAAGGTCAAAAAAAAAAGAGATATATTGAACATTCATATTTCGTGTCTAATCTTCCAAAATAGAAAAACAATATTGTAAGCTTCAAAAGCCTCTTCCATAAAGCACTATGTAGGAAACAGCAACAAACAAATCCTAAATGAATATATGATTTTTCATGTATAGAGTATATATATATATATATATATATATATATATATATATATATATGTCAATCACATATGCACTAACTACTGAACTACTGTTAGGTCAACCTGGTACCTTCATACTTATAAAATTGCCAACAATTAATGCACAATTGTTAATATGCTAAGCTCTGCCTCAGATTCAGCAACATCTTTGACAGAAGTTATGTGAAAGACTAACTGCCTTGAATTACGTTTGGGCAATTAAGAAATTCAGTTTTCCAAACTCAATTGATTGCAGGCTGCTTTTAATTTCATTTTTCTTTTAACTGTGTTTATGATCCATAATGAATACTTTGGAAACCTCCCTACTCCAGGATGAGCATCTGCTCTGACAGAAGTAACTTCAGCACTCAAGGAACAGAGAGGTGATTAGAAATTGTGAATGGGGCATGTAATCCAGTTTGGATTTATTTATCCTGTGAATAAAGCACATGTTGGATGCTGGAGATCCAACCTTCTGGGAGGAGCATTTGTGACTCCATTGCCATTTCAACTGGGCCAACTGTCTGTAACAGCTGCTGGGCTGTGTTCTCTAATTGAGAATATCTCCTTATGTTATCAACTATCCAATCCAGCCCCTTGGGGTTTGGATTTTATCACATCCCAATCAGATGAGGACACTCAGCTTGCTCATCATCAATCATCTCAGCTGCAGAAATCTTTCCACTGAAAAACCACCCACTCCAAAACTGCCCTTTTGGGTGTTAAGTTTGGAACCAAATTCCCATCTGGCACACATCATCCATTTAACTATTCCAAATGTGAGTCACAGGAGTCCTTCCCAGGGACTTCTAAGGCCACTGGATCAGGAGAGGACAAGAGCAGTGGCTCTGAACCAGCCATTTTTGTACCACCACTTCAATTCAGGAGACAGCTGAGGCTGTACAAAAGACATAGACTCTGTCAAATTTATCCAGAAAGATATTTTTGAGGGATGGATGCTTAACTTTGGAATTAACTTAGACATTCATGATTAAACAAAGCCCAGATTGCTTGATACAAGCACCTTGCAAAGTCTGTGTTCTCAAATCCTCTTGATACACTAAGAAGGGAAATTAAATTTGATAGTGGAGTCACAACTGACAACAGCACTCAGTCTGACATGCAGAGGGACCAGTCCTTCCTTTTGAACTACCTGACTCTTGCCATTTCAGACCCTAGATGTTCCCACACTGTCAAACTGCTGTTCTCCAAAATGAAAGAAGTGTCTAAGCTGTGTGTCTGCATCAAGCTGAACTCTTCCAGACACAGCACTGAGACAGATGTTTCCCAAAATTGCCATGCACAGCGTGGGAACAGATCTCTGCACCTCCAGCAAGAACAGGGAGCAAAGTTCTCTTGCACTTAATGAATCCCTGGTAAGCCAGGCAGCAGGAAGGATGAAGCTGATAAAGTTGTGTTATACAGGGGTCAAGAGCCAAACATGCAAGAGGATGAAGGGAATACTGTCACCAAAGGAAAAGGAAGGTTAACAGGGACAGGAAATCATCTGAGTCCAAAATGACTCTACCTAAAACCTCCTAAACCAGGGAAAAGAGTGGAGTCTGTTCTACACTGAAGCAGCAGCAGAATAGCAGAGCTGCATGTTTGTAAAATCTGAAAAAAATAGCTGGTTACTTGCTAATCTAATTAAGCTTTTCTGAATTTGGAAATTATAGCATAAATTATTTTTTAAAGTAAAATAAAAAACAAAACCAGCCATTAGTTTCAACCATCTAAATATACAACATTCTGCTTAAACCTCAAAATTAAATCCCAGTATACTGGAATGGTAAATCATGCATATCTTTTTCTTTCTACTAGGGAACAATGTGTTTTTAACTCTAGGCACTTTTTCAATTAGATTTCACTCCGTGATTATTTATTTATTTGTTGTTAGCTGTGGGTACACACGCAATGACAACAACAAAAAGAAACTAAATACGCATTTTCAATGTGTTCTAAAACTGAAATACTCTGAGCTTTGGAAATAGGGATCAGTACTGCATCATTTAATAGAAAACACTGTCTCAGAAAAGGTCAGAGGAAAAAAACAACAACTTTTCACTCAATTTTAATGTTCAGCACACTGTGGCTTTGAAGAATTTATGGGGTGGCCAAGAATCAGAGCTATGAAATGTTGGTAGGACGTGTTACAAATGCAGTGAAAGGGGGATTGCACCATATACAGATGTTAAACTAAATTTAAGCTAGTATCTTTATGCTGGACAGAAGCAAGTGCAGCAAAACCTCCATCATAGTGATCAAATCCTCAGGGGATTTTGCAGCCAGGGCTCACCTGTGTGCAAAAGCAAAATGGTTTTTGTGGCCACAGCATGGACTGAGCTGCAAGCACCCTCTGGATCCCACAGAACGCTGCAAGCTGATGGCCAACCA